GGGTGGGTCTGCCGCTCCCGCAACGCAGCAGCCCCCGGCTGAGAAACGGGAAGGGGTGGGCGAGAAGGCAGGAGGTGCAGAACAAAGGGTTATTCTCAAGGAATTGTTCTAAGGGAAGGTCGCCAGATTTTGTTTGTTCAGCACACACTGCTGATGCCCCGCAGAAGCATTAGAAGGCCAGCTGAAATACCGGTATTACTCAGGAAAATCACGCTCGTTCGGAAAAGCTCCGTAGTACATAGATCTGCTTTGTACGAAGGAGCCGACACCAAGTTGTCTCGTATCGCGTGGGCTCGGTGAGCTGGCTGCTCTACAAAGACAGGACGACCCAAGGGTGATCCGTGACCCAGCTGTGCAGTCTGTCCCTGAGGATGTGGAGCTGCTCCTGAACTCCGCTGGCATGTGCCTTGGATGGGAAAGCTCGTTCTGTCCTTCAGAGCCACCCGTGAGTCAAGGGCTGGTTGAACTGAACCCTGTATGAAGGCTACTGATGAAAATATTTTGGTGACTTTGTAGCTATTCATTAGTCTTTTCTTTGAAACTACTTACTCCACCAGCAGTTTGAGTGCTTTGTATTAATTAGGCCTAAAACACAGTCAGAAGCTTTACTAAGTGGACCCTCTTTGGTTTGCTAGGGTACGCTGTCCCATCCTCAACTGTGTATCCTTCTGTTTACTGCAGTACAGACAAAAAAAAGCTGGGGTGGGTCGAGTAAAAACCATAAAAAATAAATACTCCTGATCACAAGTACTGGTTCCCAGAAGGTTCTAATCTTTGCTTGCTCTGCGACGTTGTTCCCACAATCCTACCTCTTGCTTTATGTTATAGCACTGTTAAGGCTGACTCCAATTTAGGTAGAACAAGGGGAAGTCATAAATACGCGTTTTACAGCTGGCCAGACCTTCTACAGCTCATCATCCCAAACACACTAGGGAACCCACAGAAAATACTTTATACTTCATCATGAACTATTTTTTTTAAATCTATTTAGAGAACACCTTAATCAGAGATAGTTTCTTTTCATCTGTTTGGGAAGACAAAGTGAAG